ATTTACAATTCCTGTCCTAGCTCAGAGTGTCCTCCCTGACATGGATTATCTGGTCACCCTACTTTACAGTAACTAACAATAAATAAATAACTAACTTACGTGTACTATTAGAGCATTAATTTAATTTATTTTAACTTTATTTTACCAGGTAAATTAACTGAAAACCAGTTCTCACTGCTTTACGTGATATTAGGTAGAAATACCACATAACGTATCGGAACTTCCTGGGATACAAACGTCATGCGTGTGACTAAACTCTTCAGCCAATAAGGGCCAAGTTGTGTCTTTACAGAGGCGGTTCAAGTTTGTGCAGCCGGCTGAGAGGTGCTGCACGATCTGTCTTAAGTCATCTTGCTCTCGCGAGGTTTTTGTACCCATGGTGATGCGTGGTGACGTTTTGCAGCGCCGTCTTAAATCGGACAAAAAATCTAACCTTTTGGGGATTATTTCTTAAATGCAGTGAAAACTCTTTATAAAAGTTGTAACAGCTCAGTGAAATTAGCTCTCGGGACTTCACAAAGATTTAATATAGGTCGTGGAATTAGACAGGGCTGTCCCCTGTCCTCCTTCTTATTTTTGTTAGTAACCCAAGTTATGAACATACATATAAAAAAATCTATTTTTTCTTCAATTTTAGCTATTCATAAAGAAAAACTCTGTCATTTAGCTGATGACACAACACTCTTTTTAAAGGATATAAATTAGGTTTATGTGTGCAAGAGTTTTCTTCAGTATCAGGTCTGAGGATGAATGCTACTAAATCAGCACTGTTCCCACTTAAAGATTGTAATGTTCATGAAATATGTGGGGTTCCAGTTAAAGCTAATTTGGTCTACTTGGGAATAGTTATCTGTAAAGATGTCAGACAGAGGAGTGAATTGAACTTTAGCCCTATTATTAAAAAAATTAAAAGGAAACTAGATTCTTGGTTATTGAGAGATCTATCATTGTACGGACGCATATTGCTATACAAAGCAGAAGGGATATCTAGATCGGTATATGTCTCACTGTCTCGTGATGTGTCAAAGGATATTGTCAATAAATTGGATAAATTATTACAGTGATACCTCAGAACTCGAACTTAATCTGTTCAGAACTCCGGATCGAATCCTAAAAAGTTCGGGTTCTGATCGAATTTTCCCCATAAGAAATAATGGAAAACCAATTAATTGGTTCCCGGCCCCAAAAAATTACACCTAAATATGTTTTTTTTTTAGCATTTAAAGACAAAATGAACCGGATAAAACAAGAAGAGCATATACTGTACTAAACACATCTAAGGACATTCATCAAAACAGTAATTTGTAAAGTAAGAAAATAAATGTATCTAATGTGTAAAGTTAAAAAAAAAACTGTGTGCTGCTCCAATCCTCCGCTCCTTCCGTGTGCCACGCCCCCTCGTTAACCCCGCGTGGAATCCCCACGTGATCAGCTGTTTCTGGTTGTTGTCATGAGTTCTGTGTATTTCATCCTCGTTTGTTTCCCCCGTCCGGTAATTGTATTGTCCATCTGCGTTTTGCCTGCCTTATGTCATGCCCTGATCGTCCGCTCCTCTCATGTGCCACTCCCCCTCGTCAACCCCATGTGGATCCCCCGTGTTTACCAGCTGTTCCTGATCTTTGTCAATTAGTCCATTGTATTTAGTCCGCGTTTCCGTTTGTTTCCCCAGTCCGGTCATTGTATTGTTGCGTGTATTGTCAACGTGTTATTGCCTGCCTTTTGTAGAATTAAACCCTGTGTTCCCCTATTCACGGCTTCGTTCTGCTTCCGCCCTGCATCATGACACCTTACCTGTAATTAAACCCCGTATTCCCCGATACCCTGACGTCTGCGCCTTTGTCTCCATTCCGTCCCGCTCAGCAGGACAATATTATTATAATTAAATGTATTAATGGTTTATTATGAATATTAAAATAATTAATAAGAAATCTATATTTTTAAATGTATTTTATTATATAATAATTACTGTCTATCATTGTCTAAATGTATTTTTACTGTCTAAATATATGTATTCAGCTAGTGTAAACATGCAGGATGCTATCACAGTGAATGGGAGGCTGAGACTGAAGCATTACCCTTTGTTTCCGCTGAGAGACGTGCCGCCTGACTCATTTCCCCGCGCATACAAGTTATCTTAGGTCGGCGTTCACGGTTTGACTTCTGAGATTCAGATCGAGTACTAGGTCATTTTTTTTCTAACTGGTTGGTTCGACTTTTAAGAAATTCGTTTTAATGAGTTTGAGAACTGAGGTACCGCTGTATATAATTTTATTTGGAAGAATAAGCACCATTATCTAAAGAAATAAGTTATTAGTAATGGAATAGAACATGGAGGATTAGAAGTTATAGATTTTGGTTTACTTAATAATTCATTTAAGATTAAATGGATAAGAGAATATAGTAAGAATCAGAATAGCCTCTGGAATGTTTTCCCAAACTATTTGTTTAATTCTACTGGTGGCATTGAATTTTTGTTAAAGTGCAACTTCTCAGTTGAAAAACAACTACCTATCACATTAAGTAATATTTACAGGCAGGTACTTCTGGCATGGTTGTTGGTGTATAAGCATAACTTTACACCCCACGGGTAATTTTTATGGAATAACAGAGATATACTATATAAAAATAAGTCACTATTTTATAGATCATGGATTGACAATGGTATTTTGATTCTTGGGCAGCTGCTGAATGACAGTGGTCTCAATGACATTTGAAGAGTTTCTTGAGACATTTAAAATACCTATTAAACCTAAAGAATATGCTGTGGTCTTTGACACACTGTCTAGAAGTACAATACATTTTCTTAAGAATGCTTGTATAAATTATAAATGCCCAGACGTTGCCTGTAGAAATATATTTATTGGGGATATTAACTTATGGGACGATAAATGTAGCAACCAGCATATTAGGAATTCCCTTTGCCAACCAACAGTTCCCTCTGCAAAATTCTTTTGGACTTCCCTATATGATGACATAGATTGGAAGAAAGCATGGAAATTGTTAAATCAATATTGCATCCAAAATAAGGTTAAAGAAATTTCATTTAAAATATTACATTGAATATACCCTCTCAAGAAAGTCTTAGAAAGGTTCAAACTAGAGATAGATTACAATTGTGATTTTTGTGGGATGGAAACAGAATCTACTATTCATTTCTTTTTTAAAATGCATCTATACAAGAATGATCTAATTTAATTAGCAGGAAAATTGGAAGGAAAGTGACAATTGAAATGTTTTTCTTTATTTAAAAAATTAGGTGTTAAGAGCAGACATTATTTATGTGATTCAGTTATTTATTGGATATGGAAAATTCCACATTCATAAGAAAAAAGTTTTAAGATCTAAACCCAACTTTTTCCATTTTTTAAATGAAATTAAGCAGTATGGCACAACTTTAGTTAAGTGTAAAAACAAGAAAGCTGTCAAAACTTGTAAAATTGTGGAAGAATTTGGTTTTCTTGGGTAATTTTTTCCTCTCTCTTCTCATCCCTGGCTTTGTTACTGTTTTATGTATTGCATGACACTTCCTTTGTTGATATGTTGTAATATTGTTCATTATTAAAATAATAATCCATCCATCCATCCATCCATCCATCCATCGTCCAACCTGCTTATCCTATTGGGTCGTGGGGGGTCCAGATCCTATCCTGGAAGCAACAGGCACGAGGCAGGGAACAACCCTGGATGGGGGGGCCAGCCCATCGCAGGGCACACTCACACACCATTCACTCACACATGCACACCTAAGGGCAATTTAGCAACTGCAATCAGCCTCAGCCTCAGCATCTTTGGACTGTGGGGGGAAACTGGAGCACCTGGAGGAAACCCCACGACGACATGGGGAGAACATGCAAACTCCACACACACGTGACCCAAGCGGAGACTCAGAACCCAGGTCCCAGAGGTGTGAGGCAACAGTGCTAACCACTGCACCACCATGCCACCCCTAAAATAATAATAATAAAAAATAAAAAAT